CCTGGGGAGATGATTCCACCCTCTCCCTCTAGGTGACAGCAGAACACCAGCCTTGCTGTAAGGGATTGCTTCCTGAATGTATTTCAAAAGAATATTGTTATTTGTTGTCCTCCTGGCGTGATAACTTTTTAAAGAGGTTGGAATTACTGTTTTAATATATTGCCTTGCTTCAGAACAAACTCTGCATACTTTGGACAGCTGATAAAAAGAAAAAAGCACCAGGAGTTTAAACATGTTCTTTTATGAATACCTGTTTCTGCAAACACGAAACATGTTTGCGCCTGTGATAAGTATCTCTGTATTTCACAGGTACAGTGCGAATCTGATGCTTCTTGACAAGCAAGATCCTGAACCCCCAGAGACATCCTCGTTTCTAACACCACATGAATGTGTTTTTCTGGAGACCGCTGCGGAGGAGTACGTCTGTGCCAGTGCACTGCTTGCTGAGTGAGCACGGTGGGTTGATTTTGCATCCTTCCACGAAGAGGCTGATAAAGCCAGTGGTATGATATGAGCTCCCCACCTTGGGCTGCATCGTCTCCCAGCTGGCCCATTAAATGCCTGTCACGCCACTGGGCAGGTACAACTCTCGAAAGCAGGTTCCCTCCTGTCACTGAGGCGGATCAGGCTGAAGCGCCTCGTCCTGCTGCTCTGGGCTTTCCCACCCACCCGCTTCTGCCGCCCAGGACATGGCTCTTGGTGCCTGCTTCTCTAAATGGCATTTGTTGCACTGAAGACAAGGTGGTCCCTCTCTGTTCCCTCACAGCCAGCAAGGCCTTTGCCCTTAGAGAGCTGCTTTTTTTCCGTCTGGAGGCCTTTTCAGGCATTGGCTCCTTTTCCCAGAGTGTTTCTGCTGGGAGACTCCATGAGACTCTGTGACTGATTTTCAAATGCTGGGGTAGAGACGGAGCAGCGTGCACTTCTGCTGTGACACCCAGGGGATGCGCCCGCGTGTACCGTTGGCTATTTTGGACTTCCTTTGCTTGAACTTGGTTCTGTAGAATGAAAAAAAACATTGACAGGTGAATGGAGAAGGTCCTTAGGAAAGCAGACACAATTTCTTCTTAGGCAGAAAAGCCAGGAAAAACATTACACAAGCTCTTCAAAAAACATATTTAAATGCTCCCTGTGCTTCCCCCGAGTGATCTTCCTCTCACCGAGAAACAGGACAAGTTGAACTGTGAAACAGTAAGTGGATTATTAATTGTTTGGTGATTGTTGGTTTTTTTTTTTTTTTTAATGGGTTGGCTTTTGTTAGCTTTTAAAATTGTTTCAGAGATATTTGGGTATCCCAGTCACGCTGCCAAAGGTTCATGTCTTTGGCTTGGAGGTACAAACAGGATTTGCTGTTGGGTGCAAACAGGAAGATGGGGAGGAACAACCAGGCAGAGCAGAGCTGGGCAACTTTTTAACATGGCTTTACATGTGGGTGGGCAAGTTTCTGTTTGGCTCCCTGGTTGCTCTGCTCACTGCCCCAGTCCCAGACAGCTCTGAGAGCGCCAGCTCTGCTGCTTCTGTCGATCCACAGTAAGGAAAATACAGGAAATGCCCAAACTGGTTATTAGTTGCGTTTACAAGAATGACAGCTCTGGGTTTTGAGGTTGGGGAATGGGGATGACATAAATTTTTTTTCTGCAGTTATACTTGGATTATGTAGGGGCCAGAAAATGGGCTTCAAGATAACTTTACCCTATTGATTAAAATATTGCTTGCTTTTTAGGGTTTACTTTCTAAATCTACAATAAAAAAAATCTAGAGTGGATAATGCAGTGATTCAGTTTTTCTAGAAGTACACATCGGTTTTAAGAACTAGCAATAGGCAGTGCTTTCAAAGAAAAGTTTTATCCGTGACTACTTACTTTGGAAATATTGTGACTTACTCAAATGAAAGTTGGCCTTTTGAATAATTGTCTTTTTACCTCTTCTTGGGCTGCAGCAGCTATTTACAAGACACATGCGTTCTGGGTGGGAATACAGGGGAGGACTTTTTTATCCAAGCTGGAATTTTTGAAGTACGGCAGAGTAAAGCCATTAACTTTCGTAACTTGAAAATTGTTTCAGAGTGTATATATATATATATAAAATATATCCAAGGAAGAATGGTTGTGGCTTAGCACAAATATCAGGAAAAAGTGATGTAAGAGAAGCACTGATTCAAATAGAGAAAAAAAGACAGCAGAGTAAAGTTGGTCATTACTAAAATACAGTCTGGTGAAACTATAAAGTGATAGTGGGGGGAAAAAAAATGAACTTCTGCACCTGAAGCACTGATACTTACCGTAAGTGTTGATAAATAAAGATCCCATGTTTTGAATCCTGCTGCTAAATCTCTTCCATCCCACTTGTGAAAGGGTAGAGTGTGATGGGGCAAGAGAGAGGCACTACTGCTGTCTGGGGGATCTGTGCCTCGGGACGGTTCATCAGCCCAGATGAAACTGGGCTGTTGAGGGTTACTTTAAGTTGAAGCAAGTGGGGGACGTGGGAGTGGGACATATATTTGTCTGGCTCCCAGGAAGGGCACTGTTAAAGCATGGGAGGCTCTGACATGGTGCCTTGGCTTGAAGGCAGTGAAGGCCTGATAAAAGTCAGGAGAGGCTGGAGTGAGAACTGGTTGGAGAAATCAGTTGTGATAAACCTGCATCTCACAGTGGGGAAAGATTCAAGTGACTGAGGTCGATACGAGGGTGTGCTTCTGGGTAGTGTCAGGTTGGAGTGTCCCCTGGTCACTGACCCTCAGGGGAGCCAAATCCTGCTACTGGCAGGTCTTCTGCTGACCTTTGTGGCTTTCTAGTTAGGCATTGCAGTGATTATGAGTTGCAGTGTTGTAAAGGGTAGTTAGACGTATCCTCTCAAAATCTCATTTTAAACGACGTCCTGTTGCTTTGGACTAACTTGTAGTTAAGCTGGAACAATCTTTATTTTCAGCTGGAGTATCTTTTTCATCCTCCTCTAGAGCTAATCTTCAAGACTATATAAATTGCTATTCACAAATCTCTTATTTTGCTCCACTTTGTTTCTGTTTCTGGTAACACCAAAGACCCCAGTCAAGGTCTCTTAGAGCTATGTTGTACAAACACAAGGGAATATATGATCTCTGCTCCCGTTTGGAATAATGAATCAAAGACTGAAGGTTCCTGCTCACTTCAAATGAAGTTAAAGTATCATCTGCGCCTGTTCACTAGACCTGCCAGAAAATGCAGGAAAAACCAGGCTGGAAATACGTATGAAAAACTTAAGTCCAAGCAAAAAAAGGTCTGAACTACCAGAATGTGAAAATAAAAGAGATTTTCAAAGTGAAAGGTGATGCCAGCCTGGCTTCTCCCTTTGCATTTTACTTCTATTGTGAGTTTGAGTCCCGGGGCTCAGCCTAGCTCAGCAGCTCAGGACGGGCATGGCAGGAATTTCCCACGAGCACCTGTCCAGTGACAGTGTCATTCCCAGCACTGGTGTAGGGGAAAGGACAAACTTGCATGAAAGGGCCGCAAGCCCATAATGGTGAGGATGCCACAGGCCACCTTATGCATGTACAAAATGAAAGCTCTTATGACATCAGATAACACAAATTTACCATAATAAAAAGATTACTATATGCTGAAAGTTTGTTCCAAAACAACAAAACGTTTGAGTTGATTTCTCAGGCTAAACTTTGTAGGTGGTAAAGAAAACACAGAGATCTAGGTCTTTAACAAAGAACCAGAACTCAACTCTGTAGCTTTTATTTCCATTAATACTGGAAGCATTAAAAAAAAAAAAAAAAAAGCACAGAACAGACTCTTTTACACTATATAGTACCTTTCACTCTCTGATACCTGGGGGGATTTTACATATTGTATCTATACAGCAGCAGAAGTGTGCAGTTACTGGAACATAAACCTATGGGTCTCTGAATAGGAAGTATTTGATCGGGACGAACACCTCCCCTTACACAAACATCTCTTTGAATTTTAATGGCAAGCTCAAAGCTGCCGAAGAACTGGGATTCTCAGCATCTCTTACTATTTTTGTAGCAGAATTTAGCACCCAAAAGTACCTTTGAAAAAAGTCTGCATAACTGTCTGCTGCTAGTGGATGGGATTTCAGTTTTTCAAGTCTCAGCAACATACGCATTAAATTGTTTCATTACTTGGCTCTTTGCCTCTGTATGAGGTAAATCATCAGCCTGCTAAATCTGTAGATGGGACTGAGCAATCATCTCTGCTTAAAATCAGTTGCGAAGCAAATGCGAACTGCTCCCTCCTTCTGTGGGTTACTGCTGTACTGCAAGCTCCTCGCTGCCTGTAAATTGGTATTGTGGTAGCACTCGGGAGCCTCAGTTGTGGAAAACATCGTACAAAAGTCAGAACAAAACAATTATCCCTGCCCTAAGGATCCTGCCTGTCCTTTTTTACCATTAATCTTCATGTTTCTTTTTCCTGAACTGAAGTTGTGCTGAGCAGTTGCAGTCGCCGGAGTGATTTACTGGAGTTAGATCTGCACGGCACCTTGCCACTGAGCCCAAGGAGACCTTTCTCTCACTCCTTCCAGTGATACTCTCTTTTTGGATAATATCTTTATATGGACATTAGAAGAAATTGAAAACCCAACTTTGCTTATGTGAATAAAAGCAGAGTTTGCCTTGCTTAGCTAGATGCATCTTGGATCGTGGCTGTTACCGGACTGTATCCATGAGAAATGCTGGCGGCAGACAGCTGGCAAGGCAGCCTCTCACTGTGTGAAAGGTATGCTAGTGTATTTGTAGGTGATTATAAAAACAACCTTTCAAGGTCGGCATCCAGGTTTGCTGGTGCTTAGAACAGCAAACAAGAGTCCAAAGAGATTTTTTGTTTGACTACCTTCACTATTAGTTTTTCTTTTTCTGTGGTTTTCTCTCCCTTAGAAACATAAGGGCTGTGAAGTCTGATGTTTCATAGTTTTGCTGAAGGATGTTTTGAGAGTCTCACGAAAACATACCAATGTGATAGAGACGGTGAGCTTTGCCAGTGTAGAACAATCCCCTAGAGCTAATTAGTGGTTTGTAATTTTAACGGATAATCAAATGCTGGGTTCTTATAAGAGACTAAGTGCGTACCATATTGCTCACTCTGAGGCTTTTTACACGCCTTACACAGACATACAGACAAAATAATTGTGGAAATGAGGAAGAGTCCGCCTGCTGCAGACAGAGCAGCAAAGACAGCCTTGTAGCTGGGTTTTGTTTTAAATTTGGTGCACGAATCACCTGGAGTTCCCTGACTTGCTGCCTGGCTTGACCCGGCTTTGTTCAAAGCAGTCACACAGATGTTGTAAGTGGTGTATGGTAATAGATCATACAGGGTGTACTGCCTTGATGTGGAATAAATATTGTCCAGGACAAACTGTCTGTCCTCGTTGTCTTGGGCATGAAACATCAGCTTATAGGTGCGAACAACTGAATTTGGGGCGCACCAGCGTATCTGTGCAGAGCTGTCTGTAACTTCAGACACCTCTCTGAGCATCGGCGGATCTGGAACCTCATCTTCCCTCGACATGCCAGGACATAAACATCGGGATACGCTCTGAAGTTCACTGCACGGCTTCTGAAGGTGCCTGCATGGATTGTAGTCACAGGAGGTGTATGCCACTTGCACTGGGGTTTCTGTCGACTGTTCATCGTAATCGTAGTCGTCTACATAGTGTATCAGTGATCTGGTGGATGCGGGCTCTGACCGAGCGTTGGTCCTTGTGGAATTCAGCCGTGGTAGGCTCGTTTGTGGTGTACCTTCCGCAGCGTGAGTGGCAAGGGAATGGCTGTAATGGTCAGTGGCATCGGGGTTTTTTGTTGCTCTAGTAGAATAATCACTAGTGGGCTGGTTGAATGGACCTTCCTGGGGAAACGTCGCATCGGTCGTTGTGCGCTCTCTCTTTAGCTGATCTGTTTCAGTTTGACTTGTGGAGCCATAATCCGAGGAGTGACTATGGAGCTCTTTGAGAAAATCCTGGGAGGAGGTTATGGACATGAAGGAAGGGGGATGGCTCATGGATTCGGAAACTGGCGACTCCTCGTGGGAGGAACTGTTGGCCTTTGTGAGCATCGGCTCAGTTGGGTTGGCTGCCGTCATGCTCATTACACTCCTCTGAACTAGGGAGCTGGTATGAGTGTCTCTGGTTAGCGGAGCAGAGTCTGTTGCTGTTAGCACAGTAGTTGCATCGTAACTGGTAAGGCTGAAAGCATCATGTTCGGGAATGGGTGTGTTCGAATCGGGCAGTGTAACGTTTCTCTTGGGCTGGCATTTATCATAGAGCTCTAGCAGTGAAAACGATGTTGAAGGTCTGCCCCAATCTTCCTGAGTTGTGTTGCAGAAAGTCTCCCGAGCCCTGCAGAGGGGACAAATTAGAATAGATTAGAATTTCTATTCTATTAGAATAGAATATTATATCTATTAGATATAAAAT